ATCAGCAAACAAGACCATACAAAGAAGACGTGCAAGTGTACTTAAAAGACAACGCAAAGAACTGGAAGAATCTTTCAATGAGCTTAGAGAATTCACTAAACTAGATAATCAGCTGGAGATTTTGGACCTGAAGAAACAGCTCACAGAAGCCAATTCTAAAATCGATCGTTACAGTCAGGAACTCCGCCAAGTAACGGATGCGTACAACGAAGAAATAGAAAGAGTTCAAAAAAATTCTCAAAAAGCGCAAGAATTTCATCGACTTGCAATACAGACTCGATTTTCTGGAAAAAAATAATAAAAAGACTAAAAACATACGAGTCAGAAATAGAGATGCTGCGTACTCAACTGAAGAACCTAGGAAGATCAGAGAGCCCTAAACCATCTCTTGAAGCTCAAAATATTGAGTCAAAAAAGAGGTTGCAGACTTAGAAGCTATGCTTGACGCTGAGTACGAAGATATGCAAGATTCTTTAAGTGCTGCTACACAAACTGATGTAACGATGTCACACATTGCTGAACTGCAAGATGAAATTGGCTTCCTAAAAGAACTTGAATCTAAACTGAGAAATGACGTAAAGAGTCTGATGGACGAGAGTAACCAACGTGAGGTCAACCACTCATTTAAAATCTCAGATATACGATGCCATAATGATTCTACTATAAAAGAGCTTCAGGATCAAATGGCTGAACTGGAATGCCAAAACGAAATCTGGATTATGAAAAGTGCCCCTCTTTATAACCCGTGAAATAGCCCTAGTTCTAATTAAATTTCAGTTCAAGCTTCCAAAATGACTTCCGACAATATTAAAGTAGCCACAAAGATCAGACCAATGATCCACCGCGAAGTAGCCGATGGTCTAGAGCGTCTTTGGAACGTAGAGTAAACTGCATATGGGAAGCCGATGAAAGTAGTCGCCATGGAGAGGTTTAATATATTCGACCATGTATTTAATCATGAATGTACAAATTCAGATGTATATGGATCTGTAGTAAACCTTTAGTCGATTCCTTCATGGAAGGTTTCAATGCCACAATATTGCATATGGCCAAACATCTTCTGGCAAAACACACACCCATTTTGGGCAATAAACAGATCCTGGGCTTTTCCAATTAGTATCCAATCAGTTATTCCAGCATGTGGCAGACCAGGTTTGATAAGAGGTACTTGATTAGATGCAGTTATATTGAAATCTACAATGAAAAGATCAATGACCTCCTGGATAAGAGCAATCAGGGTTTAACTATAAGAGAAGATATCAAAGGAAATGTGCTGCTTGATGCAAGGGAAGCTGTCGTAGACAATGTTGATAAAGTTATGGAGAACATGATGCAGGGGCAATAAGATCAGACGAGTTGCAGCTACTCGCATGAATGAGAGGTCATCTCGATCACACACGATTTTCCGGATTATTCTGGAGTCGAAAGATGCCAATCAGAAAGATGGACCTGTACATATAAGCTACCTTAACTTAATGGACTTAGCTGGTTCTGAGAGAGTTTTCTCTGACGAAAGCTGCTGGTGAGCGTCTTAAAGAGGGGGCTAACATAAACAAATCTTTGTCAGTATTAGGAAATGTGATAAGGCAACTAAGCGAGGGGAAGGAGTTTATCAGTTATCGCGATTCGAAATTGACTAGACTGCTCTCACAGGCTCTTGGCGGTAATGCCAAATCATTGATTATCGGGAATGTTACTTTAGCTGCAGAGGAGGAGACTAGATCTACACCAGAATTCGCCCAAAGCACTAAAACTGTCAAAAATAAAACGAAAGTAAACATCTTGTCAGCTACAGAAGAGACACTTCAAGGATATCAGAACTTGACTCGCGATCTCGAAACTCGGCTCAAAAGCAGGCAATTAAGCTAAAAGAGATGGATAAAAGCAAACAAGAGTATCTGCTCGAGATAGAAAGACTAAAAACGGAAGTATCTATTGTCGGGGCGCTTTCAAATGGGAGCCTCGGCATCAACAAACCGAAAAAAACATTAAGACGTCATACTTTTGGACACTATGGCAACGTATCACCTAAAAAAGCATCCCTAGGGTATATGCCATTGAAAAATTATCCACCCAAGAAGAATCATCCGGACGTGAAATGAGGCCTATTCAAGAAGAGACATATGAGGAGGCACTAGCCGAAGCAGAATCTGTGATAGCTGAAGACGTGCAAGTGTACTTAAAAGACAACTCAGAAGAACTGGAAGAATCTTTCAATGAGCTTAGAGAATTCACTAAACTAGATAATCAGCTGGAGATTTTGGACCTGAAGAAACAGCTCACAGAAGCCAATTCTAAATTCGATCGTTACAGTCAGGAACTCCGCCAAGTAACGGATGCGTACAACGAAGAAATAGAAAGAGTTCAAAAAATTCTCAAAAAGCGCAAGAATTTCATCGACTTGCAATACAGACTCGATTTTCTGGAAAAAAATAATAAAAAGACTAAAAACATACGAGTCAGAAATAGAGATGCTGCGTACTCAACTGAAGAACCTAGGAAGATCAGAGAGCCCTAAACCATCTCTTGAAGCTCAAAATATTGAGTCAAAAAAGAAGGTTGCAGACTTAGAAGCTATGCTTGACGCTGAGTACGAAGATATGCAACATTCTTTAAGTGCTGCTGCACAAACTGATGTAACGATGTCACACATTGCTGAACTGCAAGATGAAATTGGCTTCCTAAAAGAACTTGAATCTAAACTGAGAAATGACGTAAAGAGTCTGATGGACGAGAGTAACCAACGTGAGGTCAACCACTCATTTAAAATCTCAGATATACGGATGCCATAATGATTTTACTATAAAAGAGCTTCAGGATCAAATGGCTGAACTGGAATGCCAAAACGAAATCTGGATTATGAAAAAGGACGACGAAATCAGAAAATTGCAACAACTAATTACAAACCCGAAGCAGGCTGGCACTTAAACCAGAACCACCTGTGCAGGAAGACGTTGCATTTTATAGGGAGCAAGTTGAGTTCTCCCAGAACATGTACAAAAATGAGATAATAGGTGGAGAGTTACGTATAAACCATAGAGAAAATCTTCAGGCAGTTAAACTAGAAATATGTCTACCCTTGTTTAGTGTTTACGATTATTGCAGGGTTTGGACAAAGTTTAGGGCTGATCCCAGTGCTCACAGTGTACAATTTTCAGCTAATAAATCTTGAATTCTGAGGTAACAAAATCAACTAGAACTCTGAAAAAGTGATTTATCAGAAATCATGCCCTTACTTAAAAATTATAAGCAGGTTGTGGCTTATTATCTAGTAAAAGATACAAGAATCCCAGATCTGAAAACGATTATTGTTCATGTGATCACAAACTAGCAGCGACTTGGTTTGTGCGTTGTTGGCACTATTTCTAATCAGGGCGCAACGATCAAAAACGCACTTGAGACGATTTGCTCGGAGAATACTCACGGATCAAGTCCATTCCATTTTATAGTCAATGCTCAGAGTATTTCTACAATTTGTGATGAACCACATTTATTCAAAAATGGATGAAATGCTCTTATTGACATTAATATGAAAGTGAAGAAGCTGCACAGATTGAACATGTCTAGAAATCATATAATGTTGATCAGCAAACAAGACCATACAAAGAAGACGTGCAAGTGTACTTAAAAGACAACGCAAAGAACTGGAAGAATCTTTCAATGAGCTTAGAGAATTCACTAAACTAGATAATCAGCTGGAGATTTTGGACCTGAAGAAACAGCTCACAGAAGCCAATTCTAAATCGATCGTTACAGTCAGGAACTCCGCCAAGTAACGGATGCGTACAACGAAGAAATAGAAAGAGTTCAAAAAAATTCTCAAAAAGCGCAAGAATTTCATCGACTTGCAATACAGACTCGATTTTCTGGAAAAAAATAATAAAAAGACTAAAAACATACGAGTCAGAAATAGAGATGCTGCGTACTCAACTGAAGAACCTAGGAAGATCAGAGAGCCCTAAACCATCTCTTGAAGCTCAAAATATTGAGTCAAAAAAGAAGGTTGCAGACTTAGAAGCTATGCTTGACGCTGAGTACGAAGATATGCAAGATTCTTTAAGTGCTGCTACACAAACTGATGTAACGATGTCACACATTGCTGAACTGCAAGATGAAATTGGCTTCCTAAAAGAACTTGAATCTAAACTGAGAAATGACGTAAAGAGTCTGATGGACGAGAGTAACCAACGTGAGGTCAACCACTCATTTAAAATCTCAGATATACGATGCCATAATGATTCTACTATAAAAGAGCTTCAGGATCAAATGGCTGAACTGGAATGCCAAAACGAAATCTGGATTATGAAAAGTGCCCCTCTTTATAACCCGTGAAATAGCCCTAGTTCTAATTAAATTTCAGTTCAAGCTTCCAAAATGACTTCCGACAATATTAAAGTAGCCACAAAGATCAGACCAATGATCCACCGCGAAGTAGCCGATGGTCTAGAGCGTCTTTGGAACGTAAGAGTAAACTGCATATGGGAAGCCGATGAAAGTAGTCGCCATGGAGAGGTTTATATATTCGACCATGTATTTAAGCAGGAATGTACAAATTCAGATGTATATGGATCTGTAGTAAAACCTTTAGTCGATTCCTTCATGGAAGGTTTCAATGCCACAATATTTGCATATGGCCAAACATCTTCTGGCAAAACACACACCATTTTGGGCAATAAACAGATCCTGGGCTTTTCCAATTAGTATCCAATCAGTTATTCCAGCATGTGGCAGACCAGGTTGATAAGAGGTACTTGATTAGATGCAGTTATATTGAAATCTACAATGAAAAGATCAATGACCTCCTGGATAAGAGCAATCAGGGTTTAACTATAAGAGAAGATATCAAAGGAAATGTGCTGCTTGATGCAAGGGAAGCTGTCGTAGACAATGTTGATAAAGTTATGGAGAACATGATGCAGGGCAATAAGATCAGACGAGTTGCAGCTACTCGCATGAATGAGAGGTCATCTCGATCACACACGATTTTCCGGATTACTTCTGGAGTCGAAAGATGCCAATCAGAAAGATGGACCTGTACATATAAGCTACCTTAACTTAATGGACTTAGCTGGTTCTGAGAGAGTTTCTCTGACGAAAGCTGCTGGTGAGCGTCTTAAAGAGGGGGCTAACATAAACAAATCTTTGTCAGTATTAGGAAATGTGATAAGGCAACTAAGCGAGGGGAAGGAGTTTATCAGTTATCGCGATTCGAAATTGACTAGACTGCTCTCACAGGCTCTTGGCGGTAATGCCAAATCATTGATTATCGGGAATGTTACTTTAGCTGCAGAGGAGGAGACTAGATCTACACCAGAATTCGCCCAAAGCACTAAAACTGTCAAAAATAAAACGAAAGTAAACATCTTGTCAGCTACAGAAGAGACACTTCAAGGATATCAGAACTTGACTCGCGATCTCGAAACTCGGCTCAAAAAGCAGGCAATTAAGCTAAAAGAGATGGATAAAAGCAAACAAGAGTATCTGCTCGAGATAGAAAGACTAAAAACGGAAGTATCTATTGTCGGGCGCTTTCAAATGGGAGCCTCGGCATCAACACCGAAAAAAACATTAAGACGTCATACTTTTGGACACTATGGCAACGTATCACCTAAAAAAGCATCCCTAGGGTATATGCCATTGAAAAATTATCCACCCAAAGAAGAATCATCCGGACGTGAAATGAGGCCTATTCAAGAAGAGACATATGAGGAGGCACTAGCCGAAGCAGAATCTGTGATAGCTGAAGACGTGCAAGTGTACTTAAAAGACAACTCAAAGAACTGGAAGAATCTTTCAATGAGCTTAGAGAATTCACTAAACTAGATAATCAGCTGGAGATTTTGGACCTGAAGAAACAGCTCACAGAAGCCAATTCTAAATTCGATCGTTACAGTCAGGAACTCCGCCAAGTAACGGATGCGTACAACGAAGAAATAGAAAGAGTTCAAAAAAATTCTCAAAAAGCGCAAGAATTTCATCGACTTGCAATACAGACTCGATTTTCTGGAAAAAAATAATAAAAAGACTAAAAACATACGAGTCAGAAATAGAGATGCTGCGTACTCAACTGAAGAACCTAGGAAGATCAGAGAGCCCTAAACCATCTCTTGAAGCTCAAAATATTGAGTCAAAAAAGAAGGTTGCAGACTTAGAAGCTATGCTTGACGCTGAGTACGAAGATATGCAACATTCTTTAAGTGCTGCTGCACAAACTGATGTAACGATGTCACACATTGCTGAACTGCAAGATGAAATTGGCTTCCTAAAAGAACTTGAATCTAAACTGAGAAATGACGTAAAGAGTCTGATGGACGAGAGTAACCAACGTGAGGTCAACCACTCATT